GATGTTCATGATGTCAGTCACTTCACTTGACAAATCGTCCTGAATGAGGGGGTCGTGGGATTAACAGGGTCCGGAAGATTTATTGCATCATACAGTAAACCTCTAGACCTCGTTTATCCGGACCTATGTACACAATCGATTCAAGAGGATAACGTAAAAGCAATGGTGTACAATTTAAATTCCAACGAGACAACAGGGACATCGTCCAACAGCGTAAAACTGGTCCATCCAATAACATACCGAACGGGATCATTATGACATATTCCAGAAAAAAACCATGGTAATTAACCTACATTTCATTGTTCTGTACCACCAAAAATATGTATTCTCTGGGTGACCTGATATAAACAACGACTGTTAGGTCAAACCAAATATTCACTGTACTTCCAAAAATATATCTTGGTCCTAAACATATGGAGCCTCTCGAAGGAATCCCCCCCCCCCCCCCTCAGATAGTAGTTCCTCCATCACAGCACTGCTCATGATTTTAAAGGTCAAGACGCTTCTGCTGCGTTAGAAGCTGTCGCTAAGGACGCGGCCGACAGCTACCTGAATGTCTGACTGATAGCTGATAAGATGTATTACCAGAACAAACAGACAAATCGATCGACAGACTGGAACCGCCGCAGAAAGCTTCTGCAACGGAATTCGTCGCTCCCGAGGTAATTCCACAACACTGCCAGATGCTACCAATGATAAATGGTTTATTTGCTCTAAATGAACACCAGCAATATTTGTGACAGTCATGTTTTGATTTATTATTTCATAAAGAAATGAACAGTCCAATTCGGGACTTTTATTTGTTATGTACATATGTGTAGTAATTACAATAGACTTGCACAAGTCTCTAAGGCAATTATTATTAGTTTTAATAATACTTTCTAGATTTGGTTGGTTGGTTTGTTGTTTAACGCAGCACTCAGCAATATTCAAGCTATATGACGGCGGTCTGTATATAATCGAGTCTGGACCAGACAATCCAGTGATTGATATCATGAGCATCGATCCATGCAATTGGGATTGATGACATGCATCAATCAAGTCAGCGAGCCTGACCACCCGATCCCGTTAGTCACCTTTTACGGCAAGCGTGGCTTGCCGAAGACCTATTAGAACTACACCGGAATCTTCACGGGTTTCTAGATCATATATGTTTGTGTATTTCTTGTTGCGGTCGCTCGTCCCCCTGCCTTCATATTGCTGGAATATTGCTAGAAGCGGCGTAAAACCAAAATTACTCATTCTTTTCCTAAGTTTGGATAATGTGAAATACTGAATTATGTCCATACATGTATGTGATCGATGGAAGTCGTATGGATACTTTTTTTCTTTCTTTGTGGTTTAACGCCGCATTCAGCAATATTCCAGCTATATAACGGCGGTCTGTAAATAATCGAGTCTGGACCAGACAATCCAGTGATTGACATCATGAGCATCGATCCACGTAACTGGAATAGGCCGACATGTCAGCGAGCCTGATAACCCGATGCCGTTTGTAGCCTGTTACGACAAGCATAGTAGCCTCAAACGACAAGTCAGGGTTGCTAAGTGCCTATTCTGACCCGGATCTAAATTGAGATATCTATCGTATCGTGACCTTATTACCGACATACGTTTCGTATATCCACGAAGTCATATATATGACACATAGGTATCTTACATACACATGTGCCAAGGTTCGTGAATATAAGTGCAAAAATGTGTGTTCAAAACTGATATACGACCATGATGCATTTCATACTGTTGTTTAAGAGACACCAGATATAATAATCAATAAGCTTGTAATATACATGTATGTTAACATGGTGACATAAACAGGTGACTTGTTGGATCAGGGTTGTCAGTGAGTGAGTGAGTGAGTGAGTATGGTTGCACGCGGCTCTGACCAATATTCCAGCAATATTAGGGCGGGGGACACCATAAATGGGCTTCAAACATTGTACCATGTGAGAAATCGAACCCGACCTTCAGGCGTGACGAGCGAACGAATTAATCACGTACGCTTTCCGCACATTATATACGCATGCTGCAAGGCCTTTTTACCGTTAGTAATTCGCCGAATCGACCCCGTTATTACACTAAACAGGCCCGTCCTTTCATTTCCGATATAAACAACACCTGGGAATCTTATTGTGGGGGAATCATTGTCAGTGGTGTTATCTGTTACTACTTTCATTGAACTGAGCGGTTACATTTTATTTTACGAAGCAACACTATGCCGCCCTCATCACGACGGCCTGTATATCAGTTGAGCGTCTACGCCAGGAACACCATTGGCTGAGAGCACAAACAAGGGCTCGGCAGGAACACCATTGGTTGATGGCATGAACAAGGTCTGGGACAGGAACATCGTTGGTTGAAGGGAGGAACAAGGTCTAGGCCATGAACACCATTGGTGGAAGGGAGGAACAAGGTCTGGGTCATGAGAACCATTGGTTGATGGGAGGAACAAGGTCTAGGCCATGAACACCATTGGTGGAAGGGAGGAACAAGGTCTGGGTCATGAGAACCATTGGTTGATGGCATGAACAAGGTCTAGGGGAGGAACACCATTGGTTGATGGCATGAACAAGGTCTAGGGCAGGAACACCATTGGTTGATGGCATTAACAAGGTCTGGGCAGGAACACCATTGGTTGATGGCATGAACAAGATCTGGGTCATGAACACCATCGGTTGATGGCACGAACAAGGTCTGGGTCATGAACACCATTGGTTGATGGCATGAACAAGATCTGGGGCCGGAACACCATTGGTTGATGGCATGAACAAGATCTGGGCAGGAACACCATTGGTTGATGGCATGAACAAGGTCTGGGTCATGAACACCATCGGTTGATGGCACGAACAAGGTCTGGGTCATGAACACCATTGGTTGATGGCATGAACAAGATCTGGGGCCGGAACACCATTTGTTGATGGCATGAACAAGATCTGGGCAGGAACACCATTGGTTGATGGGAGGAACAAGGTCTGGGTCATGAACACCATTGGTTGATGGCACGAACAAGGTCTGGGTCATGAACACCATTGGTTGATGGCACGAACAAGGTCTGGGCAGGAACACCATTGGTTGATGGCATGAACAAGATCTGGGCAGGAACACCATTGGTTGATGGCATGAACAAGGTCTGGGTCATGAACACCATCGGTTGATGGGAGGAACAAGGTCTGGGTCATGAACACCATTGGTTGATGGGAGGAACAAGGTCTGGGTCATGAACACCATCGGTTGATGGCATGAACAAGGTCTGGGTCATGAACACCATTGGTTGATGGGAGGAACAATGTCTGGGTCATGAACACCATTGGTTGATGGCATGAACAAGGTCTGGGGCAGGAACACCATTGGTTGATGGCATGAACAACATCTGGGTCATGAACACCATTGGTTGATGGCATGAACAAGGTCTGAGCAGGAACATCATTGGTTGATGGCATGAACAAGATCTGGGCATGAACACCATTGCTTGATGGCATGAACAACGACCCTAACTGTCGGGGTCAGTGACACAATAACCCTGATACTCAAGCATTGGGAGTTGGGACTCAGTCTGACTTGTAGTTAGTCCCCCATGGGGGTCGAAGCATAAACAATCGCTTCATGAAATGAATAACAATCGAAAAACATAATGTACTGAAATTATTACATGCATCTGAATACATCACTGAACTCAGATGCATATATAGATCTTTAATTAAGTTCACATTTTGCCCATGGGGATTCTTGGTTGCCTCTGCTGGTCGTAAGATGGATCCGAATGGATCGGAGGATTAGTCTTGGAGGACGGAAGATCGGGACAGAAGAGGAAAGGACGGAAGAATGAACTGGAGTTCGGGATAAATTGACGGAAGATCGGGACGGATGAGGAAAGGACGGAAGGATGAACTGGAGATCGGGAAGGACGAAGAAGGGAAAGGAAGGAAAGACGATGGGGAAAGACGGAATGATGGATGGAAGATCGAGATGGATGGACAAAATATGAAAATGACGGCTAAACGGGTATAAGAAGGGGAAGGAGAATAACACAATTGCACACCCCCCCCCCCCCCCCCCCCCCCCCAACCATACTCCTCGAGAAGGATACTGCGTGTTTATAATCAAGGCAATCTAAGGTAACACACCGCATGGCCTACAGATGAATAACGAAGGCCATATTCAAGCAGTCGAGCGAGACGCAACCTTGTCCGTGTATCTCGCTCCGACGTAAACAAAGCCACGAGGGTACTCTCTCTCTCTCTCTCTCACTATTATCCTCAATAGAAGTAATTCGGGTGACGCACCAAGCATATAACAGGTCCCAGCTACGACGTAAACAAAACCACAAGGGTGCTTTCACTCCGACGTTATTATCAATAGGGGCGATTCGGAAGATAGAGCAACTACAACACTCCCACCCTCGCGGTCCCACCCTCGCGGGTAGACAGCTTGTCTGTATTGAAACCTAGTCGAAACCGAAACGAAAAAAAATTCGTCCCTTGTACCAAATCTAGACTTACATCTAGTCTCTGAAATGAACATATCGTACAGAAAAAACAGTTGTTCACTTATCTTAATAAAAATATAATAAAAGGGAGGCTAGTGACTATTCATTTCAGATACTTCAGTAATCTAGACTTGCCAAACATTATAGACTTGCATGGGCTGTATTTGATATATATATTTGTATCATGGTCTGTAAGACAGACTATACCGAATCCTCTATTTCCAAAGGCTGCTAATACACCAACACCCAATGTCGTAGCTCAAGGATCGATACCTATGATGAAAATATGTTATGAATTCGTCAATTCCACCCAATTTGGCTATAAGAAAGAAATTGTGACAGAGGTTCATTGTGGTGATCGCATTTGATCGCACCACAAAGCCCCCTCCATCACTGATGTAGATACGCGAACCGACACATTAAAGATGAGCGGATGACAGCCCGTTGCCTTAGAAACAGTACAGTTTAAGGAGGCAAGTCAAAAATGGCGATAGTTGAGTTGAAATGTACTCACCCGTCCGGTAAAATGGTATCCAGTGTAATAACCGAGGCTGTTGTAGTCTCACCGACAGCAGTGAGCCGGGTTGGGATCGCATGTACCACACTAGCAACAAAGACTGACTGCTGGCGTGCAGTTGGCACGTGACCACCACTGCGTTAGAAATCAGCTGATCAGCTGTGAGGAAACACCGCGACTGGTGGAAATAAGTGACTCATTGTCCATAGGTGAAGCGATTTCATTTCTCAGTAAGCATGTTTTTGAAGTGTCAGACACACTGGCGTACATCTCACCTTACAAAATCCCCATAACCAGAGCGACAAAAGATTCGCGTTATAACGAGGCCATGTTGTCAGTGACGGACGATTTTTAGGAATGGGTTTGGTGGGATGGGATTCTCGTGAAATAATTCTGGTTTGTTCGATGGAATTTCTGGTGTAGGCGACACATTGCTCGTTTCTTTTGTCTTAACATTTATATTTTGTCGTTAACGTAACCCATCGCGAACTCAAACTGGAGCATTAATTAACGCGACATTACTGCGCAGTCCACACGGAACAGGTGGCCTTTGTTCTATTTATAGAGCAGCGGTAACCCGGCGGTGTTAAAGGTCAAACATTATTTCTCGGCCGTCTGGGCTCTGTGGAAACGACACGGGGTGTCCTGTTATAAACTGTCTAAATATAGACTTCCATTTTGGCTTTGTCTGAAATGTGAAACGTTTATGCATGGATATCATACGTAAATCACAAATTAATTTAATTGAATATATATAATAAAATGTGGTCTGAACCATGAGAATATTAAACTATATACACACAACAGTTCAGATTGATGAGAAATATTGTTGAGATAATCAGAGACCATATGGTCTCTGAGATAATGTTATTTATAGCTGTGAATGTGACTGGCATTATATATTTCTAGCTGTTCATGAAGCTTCTCGCTGAATCAGCTGAATTTAGAATTAGGCGTAACACAGATAGGTTGTTTATATTACAGGTACAATCGGACGCGTTATATTTGATGGAGATAGAAGCGATATTATTAGTCTCTAGATGATAACGCATAGCAACGCGTACAGCTCAGTGACGTCACTTATGGACGCAGTGACGTCATCAAACAGTGCAGGTCGTTTGAAAAACATGTACGCCGTTTGTTCAAGCTACAAAACGGACCCCTTTCTTCTGGACACCCCTGCATTGCGGACAACTACTGTAGTTGATCTGGACCAGACACTCCAGTGATTGACATCATGAACATCGATCCACGCAATTGGTTGGTTGGTTGGTTTGTTTGTCGTTTATCCGGATCTTCAAGGGTCAATTCACAGTTGAGTCATTTATGCAAAGTTATATTTAAAAATAATTTATGAAAGATATTTGAGCATAACAATATCATATATACAGTTTTAAAACACGGGCTATAGGCCACCAGTAACCAAAGCTAGGCCACCTCGGTTTCCTGCATGATACCCCAGCAGGATTTACGTCATCACTTTAGCTACTGGTGTTTGTACACAATGCTAGCCTATGTTACAAAATACTCAGCAATGAGTTGGCTTAAAAACACAGGTTGATGATAGTTACATCGATTAGTTAGTTAGTTGGTTGGTTGGTTTGTTGTTTAACGCCGCACTCAGCAATATTCCAGCTATATGACGGCGGTCTGTAAATAATCGAGTCTTGACCAGACAATCCAGTGATTAATATCATGAGCATTGATCCACGCAATTGGGATCGATGACATGCATCAACCAAGTCAGCGAGCCTGACCACCCGATCCCGTTAGTCGCCTTTTACGACAAGCATAGTCGCCTTTTTACGGCAAGGCAAGCATGGGTCGCTGAAGATCTATTCTACCCCGGATCTTCACGGGTCACATCGATTATGGTAAGGTTATGTGTCACACAGGAGAACAATGATTTTACGATACTTTAACCTCCTGGACAGAGCCTTCAATAATGTCAGTTGATAATAGCATCCAACTAAATTTAAATACAAGCATTTACTCATTCACCTACAGACCAATTCCTTTCAAGTAACTTTAAAAAAAAATTAGGATGAGATGCCCGCTTACACGGGGGAAAAGATCTTTAAGATTAAGGCTTTGATAATTTGAATCCCTTGCAAAGTCCACACAGTCAAGCAATATATGCTTGACGGTGAACCTTTCACCACAAGGGATACACTTAGGAGCATTCGACACCACTCGCCCCTTTCCGTAACCTGCAAGAAGACTCGTCCCCCTATCGATGAATGTTATGTGCGAAAATACGACAAACCAATCAGAATGCGCGAATGATTTCAAGTTCTTCGTTAAAGAATCCCTCAGAAACAATTTTTGATTTAGCGTATGTCTTACATCTAAAAATATACACAAGACACAGTTAAATGTGGTCAATCATACTGTATAATTCCGCATGTCCCGATATGCTTTAAATTGCATCTAAAATATATATAATATATGGGGAAATATATGTGAACCATTACGCAACGAGTTGACAATTGTTTTATGTATGCCCGTTTGCGCTAAGACGGAACCCGGTCGCAAAAATGGCCATGAGAGGGGCACGAGTCGCTATTCGGCTTGTCCCGGAATAACACGAGTTTGTCACGAATGACTTAGGAGGTCACACGTTGAACTCGCAAACGACTGACTGCCATGCTTACAAACACGAGCAGGAGTGTCGTGACACTGAATATTCCCCAGCTAAATTTCCCTGGTCAATTTGAATGTATATGTCATGTCATCGGTATAGTAAATATGTAAGTGAGTCATTGAGTGTTGTTTTCGTTAGGCTGTAAGTTCGAACCAATCTGATTGAACAAACAAAGCGTAAATTCATCGGGGGAATAGTAAGTCAGATGTAACCTTTTCACTATGATGGCACTCCAAAACACATACACAAAAATGTGGTGTGGTGTTTGTTGTTTAACGCCGCACTCAGCAATATTCCAGCTATATGACGGCGGTCTGTAAATAATCGAGTCTGGACCAGACAATCCAGTGATTGACATCATGAGCATCGATGCACGCAATTGGGATCGATGACATGTATCAACCAAGTCAGCGAGCTTGACCACCCGATCCCGTTAGTCGCCTTTTCCGACAAGCATAGTCGCCTTTTACGGCAAGTATGGGTTGCTGAAGACCTATTCTACCCCGGAATCTTCACGGGTCACACACACAAAAATGTCACTACATTTGGGGTCAGAGGGCAAATTTCAAGATTCCCGAGTTCCCAGCGGCCAGCCTATCTGGTACCCCTCCCACAGGCAAGCGAGATGTGACGATTACAGTCCATTCGTCAAATTACATATGTGTTTCATCTGTTTCATAAGTCTAAACATTCAGATAAACATATGTCTTAAAACTGTTATTAAAGTTTCATTGAAAACATATCATGAGACGAGGACTATTTCCTTGTCCGTATTTATCCTTTGTTGACAATGGTTGTACGGCTGCAGTAGAACGGAGCTAGCAGTACGGTCACGTTGATGTATAAAGAAATATTGTCATGTTTCTCACTGTTGCCGGTTGCAAATCTAAATGTATATAATTATGCAAAACAATAATATAAAACGCACTGAAAGGCTTTCATTTGCTCGGTGTTTGTTAACAAACAAAAGAAATGTCCGGTCACGTGATGTTTTGTTTTGTTTGTTGTTTAACACCGCACTCAGCTGTATGACGGCGGTCTGTAAATAATCGAGTCTGGACCAGACAATCCAGTGATTGATATCATAAGCATCGATCCACGCAATTGGGATTGATGACATGCATCAACCAAGTCAGCGAGCCTGACCACCCGTTAGTCGCCTTTCATAGCAAGCATGGGTTGCTGAAGACCTGTTCTACCCCGGAATCTAGATTACTTCACTATCAGGAAAACAGTTTCTGAAAATGAAGACAGTCGTATTTATTATATTTCACAACTATAATTATCTGTAACATATGTCCATTTAAGAGACTAGATGTTAGACTATTTTGTTCACTACATTCACGTCAGCAAGCAAGGAATTCTGAAATTTGGCAGCATCAAATCGAGAAAAAAACTACACCCTCTCCGAGAGCAGCTTTGAAGCGCTTCCTCAATCAGGCAGAATAACAAGCAAGTATGACCTTACGTGGTTTCTAAAACGTTGCCCCTTGTGTGAAAAACCCTCATCACAAATGTGGTAGATCTAAACTTAGACCTCTCAGCGCTGTACTTGTATTCTGGTCTCTCTCCAGTCTAAGTATAACTCCCTTGTGTCGTAATACCCCCGCTGCTTACGTAATGAGTCGCGTGAAACATGTCAGTGGGAGATAGCGTTAAGGGAATAACAAACCCATGTTGTGGGATGGGAAAAGTGGCGTACTTGGATGGAAGGAGAGTATGTTTGTTGCTTCTGGTACGCACATGTGACTTTCGATGCGTCATATTCCATGTTGTATGTGCGGGGGTGTAGCGGCAAGCAAGTTGGGAAGGTTGGTTGCTTGGTTTGTTGTTTAACGCCGCACTCAGCAATATTCCAGCTATATAAGGGCGGTCTGTAAATAATCGAGTCTTGACCAGACAATCCAGTGATTGATATCATAAGCATCGATCCACGTAATTGGGAACGATGCCATGCATCAACCAAGTCAGCGAACCGACCACCCGATGCCGTAAGTCGCGTCTTACGACAAGCATAGTCTCCTTTTGCGACAAGCATGGGTTGCTGAAGACCTATTCTACCCCGGATCTTCACGGGTTTACTTTGATTGATAATAGATTTATATGCCACTGGCAGGAGGACAATACTTTTACACTACTTTAACCCCCCGAGTGGCACCACCATCTATAATCTCAGTTGATGATAATATTATATTAATTTTAAAACACATAGCAATTATTCAAAATATATTCATTAATTCTATTTCTTTTAAAAAGCCAAGAATTAAATGAGCATTGACATTATTAAAAAGATCCTTGAAAGAAGATGAATCATAATAGATATCCCTTGTGAGAGAAAAGTCTACACAGTCAAGCAAAACATTCCTGACTGTGATTCTCTCATCACAAGGGACGCAAAACGGAGGATCCTCGCCTTTTAATAAGTATTCATGAGTAAAACGGGTATGGCCAATTCGACATCGTCGCAGTACAACATCACGTCTTGATTGACGACCCACGTAGGTAAAACCTAAAGTTTGTTTAACTTCATGAAGTTTGTTTATATCCACATGGGTGTTCCACTTTCTTTGCATCATCTGGCTGATATACACTTTGATGGAGGGTTT